TATCTTCTTCCCTGAACTCTTCTAATTATTTTCCTATGGACTGGGGGTGAAATCCTGGTCTCAAAAAGTCAATAGCACAGCTCCCACAGACATCAATAACGCCAGGTTTTTCCTCCAGTGACTAATTTGTGTCTCTAAGGAGCTCCAATAGTTCAGAACAGACATCTGCTTGGATATTTTCTGTGTTTTGTGAGCAAGCTGTTGTCTTCCAGGTCTGACTGCACAGGCCATACAGCATGCTGAATTAGCCAGACATGCCCTCCTCACACGGGGGCACCTTCCCTCATCATCTCTGGGAGAAAAGGGAGAAATCTTAGGGACACTTGTGACTCTCTTCTATACCTTGGGGGCAGCCCACCTGGCACAAAACAAATATCCTTGCCTGTGAAAATACTTCAGATTAAAGTGTCTAATACAAAATGGTTATAAATGTCACATCATGAATGTTATGTGGTCTTTTTCACCTTTAAGCAACTGCATGTCATAGCTCATTCAACAGTAAACCATCCTGTACAGCAAGGTGGGCATTGGTGGGTGGTATAGATAGAAAAACAGAGGCCAAAGACATTCAGTGACCTGCCCAACACAGGGAGTTGTTAAATCAAGATTAGGACCAGAAAAAGGCACTTTTTTAACCATGGTCAAGTGTTAAAACAAACTGTCATGAGAGGTGACAAATCTTCCATTACTTGCTGTCTTCAAATCCAGACTAGATGCCTTGCTGGAACATGTGCTTCAGGCAAATGCAAGCTGTGAATTTCACTAAGACGGTAATTGAATGAAATTCTGTGTTATACAGGGGTCAGACGAGCTGATCTCAGAACCCTTCTGACAGTAACCGTTTGTGGAAAATGGCTTGCAGTTTTGCATTTAAGGCACAGCCAAACAGTCTACTACCTGCTTTTACCCACGTTATATTATTGTACAAGGGAAGGCTGTGCCCAAAAACTAAAATTGGTATTTCTTTTTGGCAGTTTTGTCCCAAAAAGTGATATTAGATTTCTGCAAAAGCAAAATGTCACTGGAAGGCTTGACCACAAGCCAAAAATCCTATGGGAATCCAGAGACAGTCAGAGCAGGGAATAGTCCCCCTAGCCCTTCCCTTTGCTTTTTCATCCCCTACCCCTCATATCCAACATCGTATTTCATCCCTCTTTACTTGCAGAGGCCTCAGGGCAGAGTGTGGCTTGTGTTATACTTTGAGGAACACGACATACATTTGCAGATCCATGCATGGGACCATGGAGGCTGCTTTTGTGAGTAATGCGAGGTGCAAGGATTTCTTTGGATATCTTTTATTGAACTAACTGCCTAGTCCAGATAGTCAAACTAACTTTCTAGTGCAAGCCATTTTCTGAGGAGAGAAGCCAGCACAGCAATAGACTTTGTGAGTAATGCAATGCACCATTTCCTTTAAGCCCCCACTCCCTTGCCCAAGTCACTTCCTGCAAGGAAGCGACAGAGAAGCCAAAGCAGCAAACATGCTTCTCAACTGGTATTGATTGATGTGCAGAGACTGTCCTGGAAACAAATGTCTGAGCAAGGAAATGGTAAAGATTAGTTTCTGGTTCTGTGATTGTGTTCGTTTGGCTGATGGCACGTGCTTTTGGTGGCTTTCCTTGACTGTCCTACTGGCAAAGAATCTTATGTCAATCTGCAGAAGGCAGAGAAGATCATGGAAGAACTGCAGGAGCTGGATGGGGGAGTGATCACGGGACTGAAGATATCTCAGAAAGACCTGGTCATTACACTCGGCAGGTAAATAAATGAAGGAGGCCTAAACTGAATGCCATGTGTAAGTGAGGACTAGATCTCTGCTGCTTTGGAAAACCATGTCACAGGAATCAGACAGGGTCCGTGACTTCGGTAGGAGTTTTCTTTGTGCATGGGAGCAGGATCAGAGTCTCCCTAACTGAATGTCATACTTACTCTGATTTGTGCTTTAAACTAAAGGACCCATTTTCCTCACTTTCTTCCAGGACATGTTTGCAGCAGAACAAGTTAGGTTTTGCCACGGGTTATTTTGAAAAAGCTGTCACTGCTGTAACTTCAGCAGAAGGAGATATGGCTCCAGAACTGATTAGTCTTTATCAGGAAATTGCCCAAATGGAGCAACTAAAGGAAAACCATGAAAAAGCCATTGGGTATCTACTGAAGGTAAGAAAGCTCAAAATCCCTTTCTGGGCAGCAGGAGTTAAGAGTCCAAGTTAGAGTCACTGCTCAGAGTGTGCTGTAGGCACACTTTTTTATTTGCTTTACATTAGCAATGATTTACATTAGCAATGATTTGCCGAAGGATCTTGATGGACTGCATGCCATTACGTGAATTCTGTAGCCAGTCAACTGTCTCTCCACTCTGGTGCACATTTGCTGATGCCAATGCAGTTCTGTCTATAATGTAAGCGGCGATTCATGCCTGGCCTTCCTCAATAGATTCCTGTCAATGAGGACAAACAACTTCCTTGCTTATGAACCCAGTTTCAGCAACATATTGAGTTACTGATGTTTAAATATTAGAGGAACTCTTATTTAGAATTCCTTCAAGCAGTTCTGCTTCAGAAAGTGACAAGTCTCATGTGTGAGTCCTTGGTTTGTATCTCAGTTACTGGTATTTCCAAAAAATATCACATCATCAGTAGCACCAAAAGCCCTTGGTCAGTCTTGTGGGAAACCCAACGTGTGCAGGTGGGACTGACCAGAGCTGGAACTTAGCAAGCGAGTCTGAGGCGATGCCAGAAAGGTTTGAGCTCTTCTCTCTTTGCCAGAGCTGTATGTGCTTTGCCAGACGAGGAGCACTTTTGTCATTCAGTCAGCAGTTAAAGGGGACAATTTTTACATAGTTGGCATTTTAAAACACTTTTATTAGGCACCTTGCTCTTGAAGCTAGTGGCAATCAAATGTGCCCTGCACTGCCTCCGATCATGGTCAGGATGCATGCATTGTTTTAATTCAGAAAGTCATGGTGATGGAGATATGAGGAAAGTACCAAGCACTGACTCCATGAGGATCCTACTCTGAGTCATCTATACCAGAGGTAGTCAACCCATGGCATGTGTGCCACAGGTGGCACAGGCAGCCACTGCATGTGGTAGGCAGAAGACCAGGGAGGGGACAGGAAGCACAGTAGCAGAGAGCCCAGGGAGCAGAAAGCAGAGCAGTCAACCGGGCAGGAAGGGGATTGGAGTGGTACTTGGAGGATGTGGGACTAATTTGTGGCACGCCTGCCAAATCCTCATTCATCTGTATTCTCACTGCTCTTGAGAGTGGTCATGCTGTGCAGTAACACTCATGCTGCAGATGCTTGTGTTAGCAGGTGACGTGGTGTGCTAGTTTATCCCCCCTCCTTATAGGGCAGACAACTCCAGTGAAAAGTGCAACCCCACAAGAGTTAAGGGGCTATGTGTGTGGACCAGACCTCAGTTACAAAGTGTACAATCTAGGTAGCAAATGAAGGACCTGAGAGTGAGACTAGTTTTAAAAATAAAAATGCCTTTCCCTATTCCAACTAAATTAGAAAAATATTTTGTTTAGAAAGTGCCTCAGTGCTTGTCACTGTCACATGACTCTTTCCTAGGGAGCTTTAATCCCCTCTGTTTGTGAAGTTCAGACACTGAAGATCTTGTATTTAATTTACTGGCTACATCAAGTAGAGGCAAAATATTTTCTTTTAACCCATGCTAAGATTTAAATACTGACCGATATAAAGGATAACTTTTAAAGATGGTCCAAACAAAATAACCAGAATCAAACCCCCATGAACCTTTTGTGTGGCTTCAAGTTGGATCTCACCCTGAATCAGAAGGTTGATAATAACTTCCATTTTTTTGGAGGCACAAAGCAAACCCTTGGATACAACCTTCCCTAAGTTCTGTTGGGCTGGAAATCTGAATCCGAAGTACACAGCTTAGGTCCATCTCCAATGTTTTAATTTCAGTGTCTGCTACTTGGGGAAGAGCCAAAACTGGAGGTTGAAGACAGACTGAATGCTGGCAGTATTAAATATCAGGAGCTAAGCTGTTTAGCTGGGTGGAATTATCGTATTCCAGACTATTACCTCATTTCTGCACCTGTGACTAACTTGACAAAGATGGTGTTGTCTATGAAAATACCCCCTGTGTGCGCTGTGCTTATTTAGCTCAAGTAATCGCTGTAATTTTGTTGTAGGCACATTCCATTTGTGTAGCCTTGCACAGGGAGCTCAGCATCGAAGCGGCTCAAACAGAGCTGTTGCTGGGTAAAGCTTATGCTGCAACTGGAGAAGAGCAGCACATTGGTAAGTGCCTTCTGGACATAGAGTTGGCTCTCCTAGACCCTATAATGCTGCAACATGAAGGGGAAAATGTTGCATGGACTAGTTAGGAATGCACATTTAATCAGTGAGCTGCTTTACAGGCTATTAAACACCTGAAGTTCATGGTATTGGCACCTCATGCTACCTCCAGGGGGACATAATTCTGTCACTCATGGAAGCCTCTCTGAAGAAGTAATAGGCAAAATTTGGCCATCGGCTTTTAAGGAAGATAGAAACAGACCTTTTTCTAGCCACAAAGTTCATCCATTATTTGGGTAAGAGACTGGTGCAGGTGACATTGGGAAGGTACCATCGGTTAAGGATAATTGCTATGCTTAATTCTAGTGGCTGCTGAAAGGCATTTCACAGGGAGCCTCAGTGCGTATCAGACAATGCTGAGTGCAGATGACACCCAGACGCTGAGAGCCGTCACAGAATTCAGCAAATGGCTTGTACACATTGGGAAAAAGCAGGTAACCATAACCACAAATACTAGTACGCAAACTTACTGCATACCTCAGTGCCGCAGCTTCTCAATCCAGCCTGTGCCTTTCAGTGTTGCATAGTGCCAACAGTTGCAAGGGGACTTTATGGAACCAGGCATCTGTGATTTGTAGGGTCTTCCTGGTCACCCCTCTTCTACCTGCCACTGGAGGGGACAGTAGCACAGCAACCACTTTGCCAGCTGTGTCACCAAGGTCCTCCTATGCCGGACCTGTTGCTGACCATAGGGCAGCTTTGCACCAGCAGTGCAGTGCAGGCGCTATGGGCAGCCTCAGACATGTTCTATTTTGCGGGGTGGGAGAAGCCTTAATTAGAGCACTCCAGCAGACTCGATTAATTGAGTCTGCTCCAATGCACTGTAATTCCCCTTGCATCTACAAGCACCCGAAAAAAGTTACATCAAGCATTTATTTAAGGAGTCTGTTCTGGACACTGCCATATTTTATGTGCTGATCAGCTTTTGGATTTTTGTCCTTTAGCAAGCCTACAAACTGCTGGACGATTCCTTAAAGGCCAACATAGACATCAATGGTGATTTTAGTGAGAAGACGGTTGAAATTTACCATCTCATGGGCAGTATCTGCTTAGCAGAAGGAGAGATAAGAGAGGCTCATCAGCTCTTTAATAAGGTAATACTAATGTTATGTTGCTTATTTCTTGGATTTATCATCTCAAGTTTGTCTCAAAATGGCATTGAGTACAATTACATTTAGGTGGTTTACATGGCAAATGGCAAAGTAGTGTTGTAGAGATGCACTAGATAGCTTCAAATGAGCTCGCCAAGGAATCAGGTGTAGTTTAGCACAGAGCTTAACACAAACTCCTAAGTCTTACTGACCTGCATAAATCTCACACACACCCAGGAGCCCCTTTGTGTGTGCCATAGGCAAGCTGGGCAAGCAGCTACACACCCTGGCCTTTATCCCTGTAAAACTGCTGGACTGGTTTGGATTCTTTTTGGAGTCAGTTGTGCTGATGAACTCACAAGATTGCTGCCAACATACAGCTGGAGATGGGAAGATGACCAGAATATCTGATGTTGAGGGAAGAGGGGAAGGGCATAGTCTTCTGCCACCCTGTTCTCCATGCTAATGAATGAATAAAAGGAAACCCCATGAATTAAAAGGAAAAGTGGCTCCCTTCCCCTGACTAGCAGGAGAGAAACTAGCCCCTAGCCAGGGTCTCTGCTTCAGTTTCCCCAGTGGTTAATATTACTTGCATCAAAAGAGTAGTATTGTGCAGGTGAATTACTTGGTCACTGTGAGGGCTCTGATGATGAAAAGCATCATGTAATAATGCTATGATTTTTTATGTGAACCTGTCCACTTAAATCTAAAGAAGAGAGCTCTTGGATTCTAGCAGCTTTTCTGTAGGCTACAGAAAGATTTCTTAAAATCAAATAGTCACTGATAGTGACTTTAGGCAGGAGGGAGTTGAAGTCTCCATGTGGTGTCTAACGCAAAATTTTCAAACACCAGAACAAGCCCTTTAAACAAATCCTGTTTATAACACCATTCTCCAGACCCCCCCTTTAACATTCCCACCACCAAGATGCAGCAAATTGACTCACTCTATTAGAAGAGAGCTAGTGCCCTCTTCTAATGTGGTCTTGGGGATGGGGAAGATTATGACTATGGGGTTGTGCTATATTCCTTTTATCTTTTCTGCTTGGGAACACTGGTGTTTCTTCACTAACATACAGATTACTAGGTGCCAAACACAGTGAATCTATTTACCAGGTGACTTGATTGATTTCAGAACCAGCTTTTGTCCTTTTATGTCCATTTTATCCTGCACAGTGTTTGCAGATTCAGCTGGCTGTTTATGGACCTCAACACAGGAAACCCAGAGCGATGCAAGAGCTTCTGAACATGTTGAAGTGAGTAATAGACCATTAATAGCATGGCTGTGATGTTGTGCTGGACAATTATGGTTACTACTGAGCACAGCCAAGGTACTGTTACAGCCACAGGGATCTTAGCAGATTGGTGTTATCCACAAAAAAGGCAGGGACTCCTCTGGAAGGCAGGAGATCCTGAGGATGCAACTCAGAGAAGAGGCACAGTGCCCTTCACCTCCACGGTGCTCTCCTCCACCTTTGTGCCCCCTGGATTCTGGGTTTCTGTGGGGCCCAAAATGGTCCCTTGCACCAATTACAGCAGCCCACAGACAGCATCCCTCGGGCTGCATTGTACACTGTCAAGCAACCAATGTCGACCGCTCATTGCATCTCCTCTATAGGAATTATCCTTTGGCCTCTTTAAGGTTAGCATATGTGACTGCAGGAGCACACTGAAGCTGGAGCGTTTGCCAGGATCACCCTGGCTGTCTCACAGAATTAACAGGAGCACGTGGAGTCTCTTGCTGCTGATTCAAGAGCCCTCATTCAGATCCGGCTGGCAGCACCTGACAGCTCTTGGCAACCGATATTTGCTCTGCCAAAACAGGTTTCTAAAAACCCCGTGATCATTTATTCTTCCTGAACTCTTACTTTAATTCTCCAAAACAGTCACTTTCCTGACTGAAAGATGTTGTTGTTCCTTTAATGTTAAGGTTTAGTGCCTAGGGCCTAGATCCAAACAAAGGCTTGGCATCTGGAAGTGAGACGTAATCACAATTTGGGCACTCAAGTCCCGTATTGTAGGTCTGAAAATGTCTCTTTAGATGCACCTGGATGCACTTAAACTCCACTGGTGCCACTGTTTTTCCAACCTTTGAACCAACACTTCCTTATAAATCGCAGCTACCAGTGGAGGGACCTGGTGGTGCCATTGCACCCTCTTGTACTAGCCCATTGTTGGAGCCCTCTCCCCTGAAGCGAGGCGTAGGTTCAGTTCCCTCAGTCTGAGGAGGTTCAAGCCTGTGTGCCCTCCTCCTGCCAAACAGACAGTGGACTATTCTGCAGGGGAAACAGTCATCGCCCCTCCTCTTCCTGAGCCTGTTTCACTCTGCAGCAGAGTCAAGATTCATTAGGCCAGACAGGGAGCAGAAGGGAAGAAAAACCTGGTGGACTGGGAGGGGAGACCTGGCCTCCTCTCAGGACTGTTGCTGTGTTTTCACACTAAAATAGCTGGATGTGCAGAAGCAGTGCAATCCGGGCAGGCAGGTGTTTTGTATTTTGACACCAGGTAGATAGGATGGGATTGTCCCATTTGTCCATGCAAAGGAGTAGGGTCTGGGATTTGTAGCCTAAGAATGACTAGAGTGGGACAGCGCCAGGAAAGAAAGTGAATTTAATATCTCCTCTATCATAGGTCTTTTGCCGTTTGTGAGGGGAAGAGGCCCCTGGGGTAAAAGAGATGGACAGCGCTACATTAGACAGGGCTGACAGAGTTCCCAGTGCCTTGGCAAGAGTGCCACAGATAAAACTGAATGCTAGTGCTGGGAGGCTGCTTTGGATAAACTCAGGCAAACTCCCCATGTTTCCAGCTTGGGGAAAAGTATTAGTAATTTTGCTTTGGTTGTGGGAAAGTATTAACTTCCCAGTCAAATTTGCCCCTCCTGATCTCCCTTTAGATTTTCTTTCCTTACTGTATGTCAAGGCCAGGTTATAAGAGCGGCATGGCAGGGGTCTGTAATTTATGCCCTTTATTTCCCCCAGAGCAGTCTAAAACAAACAGAGCTCCCTTTGGAAGAGATTTTTGCTCCAAGCATGTGTACACAAGGATGTGAGAGCCTTTTTAGAAGACATTCCACACATCCTTGAGTGAGTGTCCCCCCGAGGAAAGCAAATGCAATGATTCTTCCCCAAAACTGTTTGCACAGTGGCTTTTTTTGGTCAATTCACTTGGAGAATATTAAATTTAGCTGGGCTCGGTATGGGAGCTCCAAAGGGCAAATGCCTTCTCCTCAGCATGAAATCTCCCTTTAAGGCTTTGACTTCCTTTCAAAACCTTTATTGTAGCAAACTCCCCTCCTTACAGCTGTGTTCCCACCTGTTGCTGGCCACAGCTTGGCAGTTCCTGTTAGAGAAGGGGCAAACGTTTTCAGCACTGCTGTGACTGGGAAACCCCAGGCCACTTTTCAAGAGAAAGATGCCCAGGTCCTCCAGCATGCAGGCACATGACTCGTTGCAGGTCTTGCTGCCTATCTAATCTTTCGGCACCATTCAGCACCATGTTAGCTGGGTGGGGAAGTCACAACACAGTATTTATGCTGCTCTGACTGCCCTTCTGAACACTCATAGTGTAGTTACTGCATCCTAAACGTGTCCAGATGGGGAGTCATAGTAGCATAGCCACCATATGCTCGCCTCAGCATTTAGACAAGTCCATAGTCATCATGAAACCTATGTTTTAACTTAGGCACAGGGACACAGCTGGATAAGACATGGCTGAGCCAGTGTACTGCATTAAGTACCCAGATGGTACCCACAGGACTTGACAAAGACCATACTCTTTACTGAGGGTTTCCCCCATAATGTTGAACCCTTGGCTGCCAGTCCTTACTATAGGACATGACACCTAAATACCTTTGTACATCTGGTCCCATGTGAAGCCAAAGGGATGCCCTTCCTCCTTAAGGAAAAATTCTGTGCGCTTAGGGTTCCCTGTTCCACTATATTCATGATGTTAGTTATGACTGGTGGTTACTACCATTCAGCTTGTTTTAATTTTTCAGGATCTTCCTTCCAACCTCACTGTGGTATAGATAATAGAAAAAGCTGTTACATAGATGAGAAAATAGTATACCAATTGGGTTCAGCTGGACCATTCATGTTTAACATCTGTATTTCTGTGAGCCTTATGTCCAAAAGTAATGTTAAAATCTCATCTATGTCCATCAATACAGCAGAAGGTAAGTCAGACAACTGTGAATACATTTAAGGAAGTCAGACAGTGGTTTGCTTTCTCACTTGAGAGATTATGTACATCATTCTTAGCACTTCAACACATTCAAGGGCAATATACAATCGATAACTATTGATACAACTTTCAGATAAACAGTGATCACACTTGTATTGAAGGGAAAACTAGAGAGATGTTAGGAGAAAAAACAGTGATTTTAACTACTGTCTTAAAAGGAAAACTCATGTAAAGTGTAAATTAAGCATGAAAACAGTAATATATGGCTCTTCTATGATTTTGGATGTCGTAAAATCCCTGAGGGCTACTTTTATTAGAAAATGAATTCTAGGTGACACCAGTTATGAAAATTGTAACAGTGGAACCCTATTGCTCTGAATGGGTAAATAGAGCAAGTGCTACATAAAGTGGTCAGTAAGAGCTTATTTTAAATATCACTTTCAAATGATTTGGACTCCTATAAAGTATACAAGTCAACTGATATCGGGTGATCGTCTCACCAGCAACCTTGTTCTTCTTCACCACTTCTCTCTTGTTCTCATTTCAAATTAATTTGCACTTTCTGTGGGATAGGGATGCAGTTGTCCTATGCCTGTACAGGGCCTTGATGGTGAGTGAGGGTCTAGGACCCTGCTGCAATACAAATAAACGAGCACACACAAGTTGCCTAACAAAACAATGAAAGCCTCTCATTGAACCCGGATTACTCCAATTGTCCTCTTTTGAAATGCATCAAGCTGGCTATGCTATTTCCTACAACATTTTTTGCTCTGGCTGCATCTTGTTGTACATATACTGTGGTTTCTTCCCTGCAAAACATATGACTTTTTTCCAGACAGACAGGATAGAATAGACTTGCCTACTCTTACTGTAACAGATAACATTTAATTTGTTTCCTTCAGACATGTTCTCTGACTAAAGTGCAAGTCATTTTGCTGTCCAACCTGTTAAAGGAACCTGGAGAAACTGAGGGCCAGCCTGAACGAACCCTGCTCATCTCCTAGGTCTTGGAAAATTATTCAGGGAGTACTGGGTTTACTTTTATCTGTGATCTGGACACAGTGCTGCAGAATGAGTGGCTGTTGGCCTTTGCTCAAGAAACCATCTCCTCTGGTAGCCTGAGAAAATGGCAGAGTAGCAATTTGAGGAGGAAAGTGTCACTCATTGAAAATGTCCTGCTTTGCATTATTCTGAAAATTGTTGCATCTTGAATCATCTGTCCAGTGCCCCATTGGACACTATATAGTTCTTGGGAATAAGCAAGACCTGAGGTTTTTTAAATGTAGCTGCAATTTTTATTGTCAGGGAATAAATCTGATAATTTAAAAAAATACAAAAACATTTATAAATACTGCAAAAACTGTAAATTCAGTAGATATGGGATTGTACGTGTGTCAACAGTTGGACAGGCAATCAAAGTCCATGGGACTCATAATAGGGACAAGGTATAGTATTTTAATCAATCATTCTATAAAAGAACATTTTACATTTCTTCTTAAACGCATGTTCCTGGCCTCTTTCCTTAAAGAATCAAAGCAGAAGCCTTTGGTCTAGAGAGTGGTAGGAGATGTATAGGGTTTCCAAGAGGGTAGAAAGGAAGTGTCATTTAAGGTAACAGATTTCAAGGGCAGTCTCCCTGTATTAGAGAAATACAAAAAGTGTTTGAGATTCAGTCCAAGTAACACAGCCAAAGTGCTGTTCTGCAGGCAATTCATACTGGATTCCACCCTACCTTGCCAGTGCAACACAAGCACTAGTGCTCTAGACAGCAGGTAACATTCATCCCAGATGTCATTCCAGGGTAGACAACTGACTATGTGACAAGTAAGCCATTTGTAATCACTGAGAAGTCAGATGCCAGGTCACCTTCTTGCACGAGCAGTCTTTTGAGAAAAGTGATTTTTGTTTGATCACCTGAAGGTTTCTGCTGTCTAGTACATGCCTTTAGCCTTTGTTCACTGTCTATAATGCCTTGTCCATGATCAAAACAAACCACAGCAACAAATGGTAGATTAAAATACTGCATGTGGTACAGACTAATCAACATAACACCAAAGTCATGTTGCTTTGTTAATATATCATCACTGTGACTGGTGATTCCATTCCCAAAGGCTGTTTGGTGAGCATTTCAAGTGGGCAGGAAGCACAGCTTTATGTAACACATGGTGCAGTAACTGGCACCTTCATCAGACTCTGCAGAGGTTGAGAGCTAAGCAACCTTTTTGTTTTGTATAGGGGCTGCTTTTGGGTCAGAAAAACAGTGGCAGGGAGAAGCCTGCATTGTAGCTGTCTGTTCTCTGAATAAAAAGGACTTTACTTTTCAGTTCTATCAATCTGACAACTTTCACTTAAAAATGTAAGGTTTAATATCCCGATCAACCACATATGACCTTCCGAATGTTATAGTTCTGTTTCAGCAACATCCTCATCAGGGCAACAGTAGTATTCCACAAAACAGATCTGTCCATCTTCATTCCTAATCATATACTGCAGCGAGAGGAATCCTCGAGTATCTGTTCGAATAGACACTTTACAAGATAAAGCCAGCGCCTTAGTAGATGGTTTGAGCAATGAGATCTTATACCTACAAATGAAAGAAAAAAAAACCTCCTTCAAGTACCTTAACACAATAATTAACTGATTAATAGCCTAATTCTAATTAGTGAGATATCTAATTGTAGCAGCTATTTTACATTCTGGTTTAATTTTTCTCTAAACTGGCAATAGGCATTTTGCTCCAACATTTTTTATCACTGAGGTTTTAATCAGGAGCACACTTCTGCCAAGAGGGAAGAAAGGGTTTACATTAAATCCTTGATGTGCTAGGGAGAGAAATATTTCAATATATCTAGAAACTTCTTCGAGCTTCATGGCAAAATGGTATTAACAGCCAAGCAGCACTTTGCTATTACTGCAGTGATCACCCACCTGTTTGTCTGGGTCTGGTTACACTGAAACACTTCCATCAAATCAGAGTCCTTGGGATAGTCCAGATGTGCACTTCCTGCATTCCCAAAGGTAGATAATCTAAAAGACCAGAATACGTTGCAGCTAAGAACTGGTACCAGTCCTACAAAAATCTGACAGAAAGCTAACAGCAGGTAGTTTTCATGTGTAACATGGCAGGACACTCAACACTATATACAGTAAAATGAATCTCTCTAATTGGGTGGAGCTGGGCTAATTCAGCACGGGGACTGAGGCTGTCCAAAGTCCTGAATGTAGCGGACAGTGGCTTCATAGAAAGCTACTTTACAAGGAAGACTGATTCTTTATTGTATTACACTGGCACAGAGAAGACGCATTCTGTTACAAGTACCAAGTGTTCTGCAGCACTTGGTTCTGGAGCTTCTAGGAACAGAGAAAGCTCATGACCCCTGCGCTAGCTCCTGCAAGATGCACCTTCTTAGCCTGAGGAGACAATCACCCCTCTCAAAGCTTGGCAAACCCCAGGAACTTACTCTGAACAGCCAAACATGCTAAATGAAAAGATCTGAAATGTGTTTATAAAATACCAGGTAATAAGAGTTGCACCTGTGTGTTGTTCAGGTGAACTTGATTACTTAACTTCAAAAACAAATACACACCATAATTGTCAAAAGGATCAGGTTGAAAAATTTGGGATCCTGAGAAACAAGCAGAGAAAAATTGCTCTAAAACTTCTCTAAATAATCAAGAGCATTTTTACATGGGACAAGTAGAGCATAACAACAGAAGGTCACAGATGCTCAGACAGAAACCTAAGGAATGGTGCAAACTTGTACATTGCAAAAGAGGCCACAATGATTTCAAACCAAGGAAAAAAAGTGCTAAGCATGGATATCCAGACAGGCATTTTCAGTTACCTGAAATAGGGCTTCTCTGGTGACATCGTAATCTGCAGAACGTCACTGGTCATGTCCAATTCAGCAAATGCTTCTCGTAGCCCCTCAGATTGCAAGATAATTTTATTAACCACATTTGTGCTGCAGAAATCAAAATCTAGCGTCTCTTCAGGCTCTTGAGTGTTAATTTTACACACGGTCACCACCCCTCCTTCTTCTAGGAAGAGTGTCAATGGGTAGCCATAGCCACAATAACACATCCGAAGGGCTGTTGAAGTGCCTGAAAGGAGAATGAAATAAGCAATTGTTAGAAGAGAGACAGCATGGCCTTCTACCTTTGCAGATTTGGGTTTTACCCACACTTAAATCATCCAAAATGAATTAAGCAAGCTCAGCCTAGTTTATGGCAGCTCCTGCCTGAGCGTAACACTACACAGCAAATTAAATAAGACTGTAGCCCAGGTGACCTATCTCGAAGACAATGTGGATGAAGGTGTAGCAGTGCAGGTTTCAGTGTGAGCTACTAACTCAAGCAAAAGCCTTCCAGAAACTCTTGGTATGTACTTTTCTCTTCTCCACCACTATTCCCTGTGTAAGTTAGAGTAAAACTAGCACAAACAAGCTGACCTATGTTGCCTAACTCCTTCATTTTCCTGTGCAGCCAGAGCCCGAGTCTGTAACATGAGATCATGACATGATTTAGCAGGACTGACAGTGTTATTTGAAGACACACCAAGAACAGCAGAAGTGCCTGAGGTCAATACTGAGATGCACCAACAGAAACATCTGAAAAAGCTCCGACAGAACATTTCTGCCATGCACGGGACTCCTGGCAGAGCTGTTACTAGTTTCATGCATCAGAAAAACAGTTTTGAACTATTTTTAGGTAGTGAATTCTTCTGGGATTCAGGAACCCCAGTAAGAATGCTACTTTTTCTTTCTTTTCCCTTAACAGATGAATAGGAACAATTTCACCTTCATAGGAAAAATGCAGTATTTCATATAAAAAAAACAACAACAGTCAAGCAAAAAAAAGCCATTTTAAAAAATATATTCAAATCACAATCCATTGAAAAACACTAAGCAATAAGAACACAGGTTGACTTACAGAATCAAAACCACAGAACAAGTTGTGTGGCCATGAAACACTTGTCTGCTCTGCAGTGTGCCTAAGGCTTAAAGTCAAATGCAAGAGTCCTTCAACTACCTGAGAAGTAGGGCTGTGTGAAATTTCGCTGGGTGTTTCGTTTCGAAGCTGTTTCAATGTGTTTTGAGCTTGAAACAGTGAAATTGAAATGAAACAAAAGTCTTTGAAACAGCTTTGAAACAAAACCAGGGCACCTGAAACGTTTTGAAACATTCTGAGTTTCAAAGCCAGGCTTACTCAGTCCCAGCCAGCAGCAGCAGCCTGCTGTCATCCTGAGTGCGGAT